GCTTTTTCATTAGATAGTTTGTAGTGTGCGCTTTTTGAGACTACAAAGTTTGTAGTGTACATTTTTTCATTAGAAAAATTTGTAGTGTGCACTTTTTGAGACTACAAAAGTTTGTAGTGTCCGCTTTTTGAGACTACAAGTTGCCATGTAGTTTGTGGTGTCATTGACCCTGTCTAGGTGATGGGCATGAGGTTGAAGGATTGCCATGATATTGCCAGTGCTGCAGCATGAGTTTTTGACATTATGCACAGGTTGTCTTTCACATTAGGAAAGGCTATTCTAAGCCTTTCATATTGATACCTACTGTCCTATCTTAAAACATAATTATGAGTTCATGTGGAGATATGGCTGAAGGATTGACATGACATTGCCAGTTTTTGACATCATGACCAAGTTGGCTTTCACACTGTCTGCTTTCACATTCATAGCTACTGGCCTGTCCCAAACATAGTCAACTTTGATACAGCTCTTTGAGGGCCATATGATGATGGGCTGATTCATCCTTGGAGGTGTCTTTAAGTCAGGTCATGTTGTAAGTTGACCATGTATTGAGTAGATATCAACATGAATAGCCTCCTCTAGCTTGAAAGCCAACTTGGGCATGATGTGAGAAACTGATGATGTGGCAATAGCAATATGTCAAGTCATGTCAATCCTTCAGCCATATCCCTACATGAGCTTACAATTATGTTTTGAGATAGGACAGTAGGTATCAATATGAAGGCATAGAATAGCCTTTCCTAATATGAAAGACAACTTGTGCATGATCTCAAAAACTAATGCTACAGCACTGGCAATATGATGGCATTCCTTCAACCTCATCCCCATAACATAGATAGGGCCAAGGACACCATAAACTACATGTCAACTACAAACTTTTCTAATGAAAAAGCGCAACACTACAAACTTTTGTAGTTTCAAAAATCACACACTACAAACTTTTGTAATGAAAAAGCACAACACTACAAACTTTTGTAGTCTCAAAAAGCGGACACTACAAACTTTGTAGTCAAGATAACCTTTTGACCCTAACCCTAACTTTGTAGTCTAAGTCCAAGCTTTTGTAGTCAAAGTCCAACTTTTGTAGTCTTTTATAGTCTATCAGTAAACTTTGTAGTCTAAGTCTGACTTTTTTGTAGGCTATCAGTAAACTTGGTAGTCTATAGACTTTTGTAGTCTTTTGTAGTGTATAAGTAAACTTTGTAGTCTAAGTTCAGCTTTTGTAGTCGTTTGTAGTCTATCAGTAAACTTTGTAGTCTAAGTCCGACTTTTTTGTAGTCTATCAGCAAACTTGGTAGTCTATATCTGACTCTTATAGTACTTCCTTTTTTGGTCATTTTCCCCACGATACAATAATTGTAGCCCTTTCTTTTAGCCTTCTAAATATACTGAAATCATGTTATTTGGTTTTGTTTTCATTAAGAAAAACACAAAAAACACAACACAACACTTTTGAAATTCTTTTACCTCATATCTCCACAACAGGAGCACTTCAGAACATAATTCAAACAGATTTGGGAAGCTACAGTATAGGGCTACAACTTTCGCTTTTTGACCATTTTTGTTAATTGGTCATGTGACCATCATCCCAACATCCTCTTACATGGACCCTGATAGGTAAAGTTATTCTCCTCTTGGTTTTCTTCACTTTTTAGTCAAACCAGGTGATATTTCCCTTTTGGGATGGACCCTGAAGGCAGTGCCTGATGTTCTGTATTCAAAGCATTCATGCCCTGGGTATCCATTGAAAAATCACAATGAAATGCACAGGGCCACATTTGGAAAATCACAATGAAATACCCAGGGCTACATTTGAAAAATCACAATGAAATGCACAGGGCATCTATTGAAAAATCACAATGAAATGCCCAGGGCTACATTTGAAAAATCACAATGATATTGCTCATGTAGCTAATGAAAGTTGCAATGATATCACCCAGGCACCTAATGAAAATTGCAATGATATCGGCCAGATAAATAATGAAAATCGCAATGATATTGACCAAGTAGCTAATGAAATTTCCAATGCTATTGCCCAGGTTTCTAATGAAAATCGGAATGATATTGACCAAGTAGCTAATGAAATTTCCAATGATTTCGCCCAGGTTTCTAATGAAAATTGCAATGATATCAGCCAAGTAGCTAATGGAATTTCCCATAATATCACCCAGGTATCTAATGAAAATCACAATGATATCAGCCAGATAACTAATGAAAATTGCAAATGATATCGCCCATGTAGCTAATGAAATTTCCAATAATATCGCCCAGGTATGTAATGAAAACCACAATGATATTGGCCAGATAACTAATGAAAATCACAATGATATTGGCCAAGTAGCTAATGAAAATTGCCTAATGAAAATGCATGGTAACTGGAATGATTCCTATCATAAAGACTGTGGACTTATACACAGGGAGCCCTAGGCAGTTACCTTATTTTTATGATAGGGGTGGTACCCACTAGTGCCATCGTACTGTTCTCGCAGGAGATGAGGGGTGGTCGGTAATGGACAAGCATGGCCAGAACACGTTTCTGACCGTGCTCACGACCCTCGTCTGGTGGCATTCCGGTCTCCTGGACAAGGGGAAAGAGGGGGTCAATGACCCAGGTTGGACAGCCGCTGTGGAGGATGTGCAGTGGGTCTTGTCCCAGGTTCTGGGTTGGAAGTAAGTGTCCAGACTTTTATGCCTGGATAACTTCGTTCTCATTAAACCGCAGAGCGACACTTGCTCCCCAAGTCACCTTGACTGCCAAGTTGACGAAGCAGACGATGACTGCGAAAAAGCGCAAGCGCTGAGGTTCAACTCAAATCAGTGTTGGCTTAAATTGCCTCTTTTATTATCTTGTAGATTAATGCCGATAGCTCAGTCTTGTTTTGTAATTGACGGTATGGTACAGCCGTACATAGTAAAATGATATATCTTGTGCATAACGACGCGACACATTCAACATAGTGACGCCAATGTGTTCAACATGTAGTCACATGACAAATGTTCAACTTGGCAGTTTCGTGTTCAACAAGCGGTTGCATTCATTTCTCAAAGAAAGAACGGATTGCATATGCATATACATTGATGATTACATTGTGCGAGTATAAGAGAAATAAAATACAAACATATGAAAAACAAAACACACACACATGATAAACAAACGAGGTCTAGACATGCACGCATGATAACCAAAACAAAGTGAAAAGAAAATATGAACGTATGAATGTCGAAAAACATAACAGATGCAGGGTGAACGAGTACCAGATAGCTGCGGACGGAGTGACAAGTATTGATGGAGCCAAAGGGAAGGCAGGGTAAGGCAAGATTTTGAGTGGAGAAGCCGATTTTGATGAGACGTGCACACAGGTTAAAAATAGAAAGGCCAGGAACATATCCACATTGCCGGAAACATATCTGACATGTGGAATCAACGGAAATCATATCGCGCATCGATATTGATGGGAGGGAACACCCAAATCAACCCAAATAAGAGACAATTGATGCCAGAAACAAATGGAAACATGTCAGGCTAAAAATAGATGATGTAGAACCATATTCTGAGCAGAAAACCTATTCTAGGGGTATATTTCATTATAGGTGGATTTTTTTTTTCAATTTCCGGTCCTACTACAAGAAGGCAGTACTTTACCCTCCCTGGGTTATTCCATATGGAATGGATGGAATGGGGGGTGGACTGCACAAATTCCAGATGGATTCCATGGAGTGGGGGATGGATTCCATGACTTTGGGGGATGGATTCCATGGAATGGGGGATGGATTCCATGGAATGGCTGATGGATTCCATACTTCCCCCACATGGATTCCATACTTTTTCCACATGGATTCCATACTTTTTTCAGATGGAATCCATACTCTATTCTATATGTTCTATACCATTTTAAGGGTGGAATCCATATGGAATCCACATGGAATGACTTTATGAAATAATTCTAAGTTGAGCAGGAAAAATTGAAATGTATTAAATAAATAGACTACACAATTTATTTTTACTATTCTCAATATTTAAGGGAGGGGGGAAGACAGGGGGAAGTGATGGAGGGGGGAGGATGTAGTAGAGAGTGAGGGGGGAGGGAGGGGGAAGGAGTGATGGAGGAGAGAGGGAGTGGTGAAGGGAGGGAGTGGTGAAGGGTGAGGTGGGAATGGATGGAGGGGGGAGCAATGGGAGGGGGAGAAATGGGAGGGGGAGAAACAAGGGAGGGAGGGGGGATGATGGAAGGGTGGTGGTGAGGAATGATGGAGGGAGGGGAGCTCACCTGGGCTCGTCGTTGCCCATTTCCGTTGACACGAGCGGAATCCTCTGTGCGTGGGCGCACGTCATCGTCGGTCGTGGGTGGTGGGCTGTATTGGCGTCCATGGGGGTGGGTTGCCGTTTCGTTCGTCTTCGCGTTGGCGTTTGCATTGCGCTCGTGGGTGTTCGTTGTCATGCATGGGCATTCGTTGTCGTGTCGTGGGCGCTTGTGGGCAGTCGTTGTCGTGGGCGGGCGTTCGTGGGCGGTGGGGTCGTGTCGTCGTCTTCATCTGCTGGGCGTTCGTTTTCGTTCGCGTGCGGTCGTCTCGTGGGCGTTCGTGGGCGCTGCAGCGTTCATGGGTGGGCGGGCTCATTGGTTGTCGTGTCGTGGGCGTTTGGTGTCGTGTCTGGGCGCTCGTTTCTTTTCGTGGGCGCTCATGGGCAGTGGGGGTCGTGTGGGGCGGTGTGCGTCGTTTGTGGGTGGGCGGGCTCGTCGGTTGTCGTGTCCGTTCATCGTTTGGTTGCCACATCGCTGACCGCGACGTCGCACCTGGTTTGTTGTTGTCAAAAGGTGGACTGGGAGGGGTTACCCAGTCCACTTACCTGGGCTGCAGTTGAGGCGGAACGTCCATTGACATTCCGTGTTGTTGTCGTCGCCTCCCATCTGTGTGACGTGGCGTTGCCACGTCGTGTGGCTCTTGTAATGGCGGGGTCGTTGTTGACAACGTTGCATGTCGTCGTGCATCGTCAGCGTGGTCGTCGTCATCAGCGTGGTTGTTGTGGTTGTCGTCGATGTCGCGGGCGGTCGTGGCTTGAGACGGTGGGGTGGATGGTGATGGTGATGGTGGAAGGAAGAAACGACGTGGCATTGGCAACGCATCGTGTCACGTTTGGGACACCACGTGACAAAAGGCGGTATATACATACCTTGACTTTACCATATAATAATGCCTTCATGGCTCAGTTGGTTTGAGCACTGCTAATATTGATGAGGTTGAGAGTTCAATTCCTGTAGATGTAAAATTTCTATTTTTACTTAAATATAGTAAGGACACTATAAATACTGTATTCTAATTGTATAATGGTCATCCATGGAATCCATATGGAGTGGTGTTGGAGTCCATATGGAATTAATCATTCCATGACCATTCCATGGTCATTCCATATGGAATCCATGAGGTCTATGGAATAAGAAAATGGCTGGGTCCTCAGCCAACATGGATTCCATGGATTCCACATGGATTCCATATGGAATAACCCGGGGAAGGTAAAGACCTCCAAGAAGGAATGAGGATCCACATGAATATGCCATTTGAAGTTTTGGATAGTTGCAGGCTATATGGAAAACAGTAGTGTGGATTTTCCTGGGGTCAAATGGTCAAAAACTACAGCCTGGGCTGGAGGTGAGGAGAAATAGAGTTCAGGTTTATATAGTAGAAAACGGTGGCTTGGGATAAAGACTGGTAAACAGTGGGTGAAAGAAAAGGAGGAAAAAGTGATCGACGATGAGAATTGGGGATGGACAAACAAAGTGTATGTGCATAAAGGTCATGAGGGGTCTCCTCTAACACTCCCCCAGATGATGAGGGACCTCTAGATGTCCAACTTGAGTGCTCTGATGAGCTTTTGATGGGTAATGCGAGGGAGTGGCTTGGTGAAAATGTCAGCTAAGTTCTCCTCGGATGGGATTTGGATGAGGTCAATCTCCTCTTCTGCTACTCGTTCCCTGATGTAATGGTGGCAGATATCAATATGCTTTGCACGTGCATGTCCCTTGGTGTTGAGGGTAAGAGCAATAGTGGCGGCGTTGTCGCTGTGGAGCATGGCTGGAAAATTGCATGTGAGCCCAATCTCAGACATGAAAGAGAACATCCATAGCGCCTGTTGCGCTGTGTGGGTTAGCATCATATATTCTGCTTCTGTAGTTGAAAGTGCGACGGTTGCCTGGCACTTCGCACTCCATGATACTGCGCCCCCAGCCATGGTGAAGACATAACCTGAGGTGGATCTGCATGTGTCAATGTCTCCTGCATAGTCAGCGTCCACGAAACTGATGGGATTGAGGCTACCTCCACAGTGGTAAGTAATTTTGTAGCCAAGTGTCCCCTTGAGATACGCGAGGAGATGGAGCATTGCTTTCCAATGCGCTGGTCCTGGGTTCACTTGGAAACGTGCGAGAACGCTGAGGGCGTAGGTGATGTCAGGACAAGTGGCGACCTGTGCCCACATGCATGAGCCTAGTGCTTCGCGATATGGTTTGTTGGCCATGTAGTGATGGTCTTCGTCTGATTTGGGGGAGTCGGACTCAGATAGGAGAGTGCCTGAGGGGAGTGGGGTGGATTTGGCGTTGCAGTTTAACATTCCAAAACGTTCTAAAACACGTCGGAGGTAAGCTTCTTGTGATAAAGAGATCGCACCTGTATGCTTTTCCTTTTCTACTCGAATTCACAGAATATACCCCTGGTCTCCAACATCTTTTATCTCAAAGCATGTCTCGAATTCCCTTTTTGCCCTCTCTGCCCCTTCCTTTGTCAAGGATGCCCCAAAAATGTTGTTGGTGTAGGTACTGGTGATAGTGTGTTCTCCATTGATCATGCAGGAGTGAACACATGGGTCTGCCTGTGATTTGTAGTATCCCAAGGACTTGTATGCGCTGGACATTTCGCTTTGGAAATTGTAGCCACCTTGCATCATTCCGTATACGGTTTTGACGACCCATAGGACCTTGTCTTCCTCCCCCCGGGTGACAAAACCTTGGGGTTGCGGCATGTAAGTGGTGAACTTGTTGTTGCTGTAGAGGTACGCAGCGATGATGTCAACCTGCCAGAGATGTAAGTCGGGGGGGGCGGCGGTGGCGGCGACCATGCGGAAAGATTCCACGCGTATGACAGAGGCATAAGTCTGGTCATAATCCAGGCCCGGGATTTGGGTGTAACCCTTCGTGACCAGACGAGCCTTGCACTTGATAATGTCACCATCAGCATTGTATTTGTTCGCATAGACCCACATCGAGTCTATGACATGTGTGTCGGATGGCACACCAACCAGCTCAAACACCCCTCTCCCCCAGGACAGACCATTCGGTCTCCATAGCGGGTTTCCACAAATCGGGGTGTGTCATCGCCTCCCAGTAATGTTGTGGGACCTGGGAGTCAGGGAGCGTGGTTAGCAAGGCAGTCGTGTTTGGTGTGGGTGCACCAGTTCGGAGCATGGCGAGACGTGAAGAGCACCAAGGGGCCATTGATGGCTCCAGTGTCGGTGTGTCTCCAGTGGGTGTATCGGAGGTCATGGAGATGAAGCTAGGCATGGGATGTAGAGGTGGATCAGTGGCATGAGGATGTGGTGCGAGCGGTTTTGGTGGGATAACAATACCAGGTGCATTGCTGACATCCTGGGGGGTTGTAGGGGTCGCATCGTCGTGGTCGTGGTCATGGTCGATGATCTCAAGAGCGGGCATATCATTGTCAGAGATAGTGCAGTGTCCTTTCCCTTCTTCAAAGATGACATCACGACTTTTGATCGTCATGCCTGATGCCCTATCCCATAATTTATAAGTCCCGTGCCTGAAGTACCCTATCAGGACATATTTGATTGATCGAGGTGAGAGCTTTGACATGTGTATCTCCTCCAGATCTTGGCATATGCAGTGCAACCGAAAGGGCGTAAGTGGGACACATCCTGACGTTTGCTGGTCCACTTCTCAGCAGGTATACATCCAGGATGGCAAGTGGAGGGGATAAGGTTGTCTGTGTAGATTGTGAAAGACACTGCATCAGCCCAGAGGGATGGAGATAGACCGGAGTCAGCAAGAAGACACTGGGTTCTTTCAATGATGGTGTGCATCCCATGTTCTGCCACCCCATTTTGGCCATGTGCATAAGGTGCGCTAAACTCCACTGTAATGCCGTGCTTTGTTGTGTACTCCCTCCATTTCTCGTTGAAGGATTCGTTCCCCATGTCAACTCTCACTTGAATCAACTTCTTCCCAGTCTCCCGCTCTGACTTGACATGGAATTCGGCGAAGGCGCAAAGGGTTGTGTCAGCGGATTTTGAGTTTAGGAAGTACCCAACACGGTAAGAGGATCCTCTGTCATTGAAGGCCATCATGTATTCTGCTCCCCCTACAGAACGAATGCATGCAGGTCCCCACAGGTCAATGTATACTCACTCCAACACCTCGGTCTCAGGTTCTATCACCCCATCATATGGGCATGTGGTCTGCTTCCCATATATGCAGTCCTCGCACTTCCCTTTGAGCTCGACATTTCCCACAATGTCGAGCCCATCGATTAATCCCTTCTTAGCCATATCGACTAGTGTTTAAAGGTTCAGTTCAGTCCGGTTTTTTGCCCCGAAAACGCGCAACCGTGGACCGCAACCGGTCCAGGACCGACCAAGATATTGAGGGGACCGAACCGAACCACCTAGGACCGGTGTTTTGCGGTCCATGATACCGGTTCAGACCGATCCAGACCGGTTTTTTTGCGTATAATTTATTATACCGATATAAACCATTTGTATCTCAACCATTATTACTCTGAAAAATAAACGGGTTATATAAAGTAGTAAAGCATATAAATACCCGTCATTCTACCAATTTTCAAGAGATTTAATGAAGATTTGACATAGCTATGACTGAAACCGAATTACATCTCATAGAGACTTGGGTAAAATATGGATTTGGTTATATCTTTCTCAATTCTTAACCGTTTTTGATGAAACAAAAACCCAATAAAAGGCAATAAACGTGGTTACAAGGCTATGTAACGCACGTGACCGTTTAACCGGTTACAACCGATCAAAACCGGTCTTTGAACGGTTTTAAAAGATTTTCGAAATGAGGCAACCGGCAACCGGACCAACCCCAAATTGGGGCAACTGCAACCGAAAAGAAGACCGGACCATGGTCCGGTTCAGTTCGGTCCACCGGTTTTTTTCGGTCCTATGGACTGAACCTTTAAACACTAATATCGACAATCGATCGCGTGCCTGCATGCCTGAAGTGTCGATGCCATACTTCGAGATTGGTGGGTTTAGTGAGGGAATGGGCAATAAGAGTGTGTGTAGTGGGGGTTCGAGGTTTGACGGACAGTAAGTACATGCCATTGCTCCCAGCACCTCTCATCAGCGGTCTCTTCTGTCCCTCATGTAGATCATAGAAAGTCACGCCTCCACCTCCAAAGAGTGCCCAGCAATTTGCCTCGTCAAGTTTCCCAATGGAGACGAGGTTGGCGATAAGGTCAGGTGTGTGGACTGCATGTTTAAATGTTAACATGGTTTTTAGGGAGCCGGATATGATGGTCTTGGTGACAGACCCATGTCCGATGATACGGAATGACTGGTGGCTACCACTTTTATCATTAAACATGGACATAGGTCCATGTCCTTTCATACAAACTGTCACAAAGTTTATGAGAGGCATTTCATTAGGATGTCCTATCAATTTCATTCATGTAATTGTCTGAGCTTTTCATAAACTTTGGGGAGGTTTTGAGATATATTTCATAAGTCTTCATACTGATTTCATTACTGATTTCATATTTCCCTGGTGATTTCATTGTGCTTTCATTGGAATGTCCAGAGTATTTCATTGAACTTTCATTGAATATTTCATTAGAATGTCCAGGGTATTTCATTGTGCTTTCATTGAATATTTCATTAGAATATCTGGGGTATTTCATTGTGCTTTCATTAGAATTTTCAGGACATTTCATTGTGCTTTCATTGAATATTTCATTAGAATGTCCAGGATATTTTATTGCGCTTTCATTGAATGTCCAGGGTATTTCATTGTGCTTTCCTTGAGTATTTCATTAGAATATCTGGGGTATTTCATTGTGCTTTCATTAGAATTTCCAGGACATTTCATTGTGCTTTCATTAGAATATGCAGGGTATTTCATTGCACTTTCATTGAATATTTCATTAGAATGTCTAGGGTATTTCATTGTGCTTTCATTGAATATTTCATTAGAATGTCTGGGGTATTTCATTGCACTTTCATTAGAATTTTCAGGACATTTCATTGTGCTTTCATTGAATATTTCATTGTTGACACATGTCAGGGTCCATCTAATGGGCTCTTGGGAGGGTGGTCACATGACCAACTTAGAAAAGCGATGGGGTGCGAAACACCATGAGCAGGGTGCTCAAGTGGGTGGGCGTTGGCCGCAAAACAACGGGGGGTGGGCGCTATTAGTAAAATGGATGGGAAAGGGGAAGGAAAAGTGTTTGGGGGGCTGGGTGGGCGCAAAATGACGGGGAATGGGCGCTGTTAGCAAAACAGATGGGAATGGGGACAGAAAAGCATTTGGGTGCAAAATGCAATGGGCAGGTGTGCTTGGGTGGGTGGGCGTTCGGCGTGAAATGACATGGGTTCAGCGCTGTGGGCAAAACGAATGGGAAAGGGGGGTGGAATGATTCGAGGGTGCCGTACGTGAACCAGCGGCAGGCTGTGGTGCTGTTGAATTGGTCAATCAGGGCTGTAATTGAGGGGGGGAGACATACTGTGGGCCCCACAGGGTTACAACCTGCTTTTGGAGGCGTCAGTGGCCAATTAGACATAAAGAAGGGAGGGAGGCTTACCTGTGGGACCCACGAATGTTGTTCACTACCGAAACGATGCGGTTAGACGATGTCGAGAGGTTGAGGGGTGTAGGAGGTGGTGGGGGGAGAAAAGGAAGGGTGGGAAAAAATTGTGTTGGGTGGCGGATTCATCAAACGAATGAGCCACCTGACTTTTGAACGTACATTTCGGGTAGATATTTGAAATGCTCACCCCGCCAGCTGAACAAAATACAGAATCCCAATGATCGCCACTGTATGCAGCTATGGCAATGTAATTCTTGTCCATGACATTCAGAGTTTACTATGTAGTTACCTGATTAATTGTTAATAACTTTCTTTTTCATTAATAATACTAATAACAAGCCCAGTCCGTTGGACTTCCGTTGGATTTGTCCACTGGAATTCCGTTGGACTGCCATTGGATCTGTCCACTGGAATTCCGTTGGCACTTGCTGTTCATTTCCAGTGGAATGGCTGCTAGTTTGCTGTGAGTCCATCAGAAGTCCAACGGAAAAGTCCGACAGACTTGGAGGTCCGACCAGAAATGCTCGGAAAAGCATTGGAAAATCCCCAGAAAAATTGCTGCAGTGGTAAAGCAAAAAAATACCTGTTTTGGATACCCTCAGTCCGACGGAGTCCGACCAGAGTCCGCTCGGAAAAGCAGTGGCAGTGTAAAGACCTCGCTTTTTCTATGACAAAAGTTTGTAGTGTCCGCTTTTTCATTACAAAAGTTTGTATTGTCCACTTTTTTTCAATTACAAAAGTTTGTAGTGTCTCCTTTTTGAAACTACAATAGTTGAAAGTGTCCTCTTTTACATTACAAAAGTTTGTAGTGTCTACTTTGATATTTCAAAAGTATGTAGTCTGCTTTTCTGACATTTAGTTTGAAGTGTCCTTGACCATGTATAGGGTCATGGGGACATGATTGAAGGATTGACTTGACTTGACTTTTTTCTTGCTGTCATGTCATGCCTATGTTTGACTTTCACATTGGTGGAGACTCTACTTTCTATTCAGATAGGAAGTCACTATCCTATCTTTCACCTTAGTCAAATTTATATTCAGATCAGTAGCCACTGTCCTATGGCCCAGAGTCAATATATGTCCTTAGTCTTTTCAGTCTTCTCAAATCATGAGTAGGTATCACTGTCCAACCACTTATCATGGCCAGTCTTGCCTGAAAGTCTTTCAAGGATACTATCAGAGGCTGTCTGTTCCTCTCTTTTTTTCAATCTCCATCTAGGATTCAGCTGTAACACAACCTGGAAGTTGGTCAATCTTTTCTACCATTACCTGACATGGATGTTGAATGTGATGAAACCTCCAAGGAGCAATCACCCATCATCCATTCAGTGTGGGTAGCCTTCAAGAAAATCACATCAAGGTTGACCATGGTGAGACCTAGAATAGTAGCCACTGATCTGGCAAGACAGTAGAGGCTCCACTGATATGAAAGACATACTTACACATGACATCACAGCAAAGGTTGCAGTGATGGAAAAATGTCAACTCAACTCAATCCTCCAATCATGTCCCCATGAACTTATACATAGTCAAGGACACTTCAAACTAAATGTCAGAAAAGTGGACTACATACTTTTGAAACATCAAAAGAGGACACTGTTAACTTTTGTAATTGAAAAAAAGTGGACAATACAAACTTTTGTAATGAAAAAGCGGACACTACAAACTCTTCTAGTGGATGGCCTAGATAATTATATGCCAATAACTTTAGTCAAGGGTATCAGTAAATTTTTTTAGTCTATATCCAACTTTTGTAGCCTATGTCTGAGCTTTGTAGTCTGTTAGTAAACTTTGTAGGCTATGTCTGACTTTTGTAGTGTTTTGTAGTCTATTAGTAAACTTTATAATCTATATCTGATTTTTGTAGTCTATCAGTAATCTTTTGTAGTCTCTCAGTGTCAATTTCCTTTTTAGGGTATACACCTACCTTTTTGGGTGAATTTTCCCATGATACAATATTTGTAGCCCCTTCTCTTAGCTTTCTAAAGGTGTTGAAATCATGTTGTTTGGTGTTGTTTTCATGGAGAAAAATGCAAAAGAAAAAAAAAAAAGTGGTGCTTTTGAAAATCATGCACTTCAGTCACCCATTTTTGGGTACCTATGAGGTACATCAATTCCTTGATTTAAGGTACCTTGAGGGTACCCATTCTGGGGTGGTATATGAGCTCAATACCAATACCATGGTACCATGGAATGGAAAACCCATACCATATCCCACTCATACCAATACCATGTTACCATACCATACCATGTCATCTCATACCATACCAAATGATCTCATACCATACCATACCATCATACCAAAGCTGTCATGGGGTGTCTGGGGTCCTTTTTCAGAATATATAAATTATTTCTGCAGGCTGCAATACTGGTCCGTTGGGTGCCATTTTTTGTGGGAGGGTTCTTCAGGTTTTTCCTGAGATATTAAAATACAAAAGGAGGCTATATAGTCAAATCCATCCTTGGAAAATCAGTTCAAATGAGCTTTATCCCAGCTTTTTCCATGCATCAAAAGCCTTTTATTGATACATATCTTTCCCAGTCCATTCAATTAGAACAATAATCATCACAATAGATGCAGTATTGTGATGGTGTGGTATTTGAGAAGCAAAGAAAAGAAGACATTTTGTGTATTGGCCATCAGTCCTGAACTATGCATGATACAATCCATTGGCAAAGCATGGACTTGAGCCAAATTATTATCCAACAGCCTAGGCTGAAATATGCACTTCAACCAATCAACTACATTGAGTACCACTTCACATATTTACCCAATGTTCATTTAAAAACTACATATAATGGAATTAAGTATTGTCATCCTTAGTGTTTGGCCAAAGTCTTCATTATCAAAATATTTTGTCCAATCCAATAAAGCTGAGTGATTCTACCCAATCCAAAGTCTTGTCAATTGGAGAGCCAGGGCTACAGATTAAGGAAGCTCTTGTTGGTTATGACTTCCAAAAACCATGATACTATGTTCAGCCTTATTCATATCACATGTGGTATGATGATATCATACCACAACCATTCATACCATACCCTGGTATTGCAATGTCATACCATACCCTGGTATTGCCACCTCATACCATACCCTGGTATTGCAGCCTCATACCATACCCTGGTATTGCAGCCTCATACCATACCCTGGTATTGCAGCCTCATACCATACCCTGGTATTGCAGCCTCATACCACACCATACCATGGCAGTGTCATGCAAGAACTATCATATAAAATGGAATGGTATCCCAGTGTCATGCCACACTCTTGATACACATCTAACTTAAACACTCCTGCCAACTAGAGATATCCATTCACAATTGTACCAGTCTACAATGATATGAACTAACTACTAATTGTACTTATCATTCCTACCAGCTAGCTAATTGAATTTTATTGTTATTTCAAAACATAACCAAGCCTCAAATTGTACCATCCCATGAAAACTTCATTCCAACCTTTTTCCCACCAAACCTACCTATAATACTTCTGCCTTGACCTCTTTTGAGATGTTCCAACATCCAAGATATCATCCTCATCATCCTCCAGATCCTCCCACAAATCTTCACTCTCCCATCTCCCAAAGGCCAGCCCATTATCTGATACCCTGAATGCATCTGACACTGCCATTGATTCTGTCTCTTCTATAATATTGTTGTTGTCCACTTCTTCAACATTATATGTGCAATTTAACTGTTCATCATCACTTCCCTCATCATCAACATTTTCTTGTGACAAATCCATCAATGCAGTCTCCATATCCTTGATATCAGGTCCCCATCCTTTCAACATTGGATATGTGCCAGGAATCAAAGACACCTGTTCCCTCCACTGTGCACACAAACTCAAATGTCTTGACTTTCTGAAAACCAACTGATGCTCAATGTCTTCATCCTCTGTAACAAATAACACTACAGTTAGAGACACCCTAAAAACAAATCAAAACAAGCTTACCACACATAACAATGGCCATATTGATAGCTTCCCACTCCTCCCTTGACCACTCCTGCAAGGCTGTTCACTCTCGTTTCATTCTAGCCATCTCTTCAGTACATCTCTTGGCTATCAGCATTGCTTTGATTCCTTCACGAATGTTCTCATTCCCAAGCCAGCCAGGTATAATCTCACTTTCATGCTCATCCAATCCTACATCCTGCCAGATGTCATCATCCACATCCAGAGCAAATAAATGCTCTCGATTTATTGGCACTGGG